TAATAATATTATTAATATTATTAATATTATTAATATTATTAATATTATTAATATTATTAATATTATTAATATTATTAATATTATTAATATTATTAATATTATTAATATTATTAATATTATTAATATTATTAATATTATTAATATTATTAATATTATTAATATTATTAGTATTATTAATATTATTAATATTATTAAAATTAATAATATTATTATGAATATTAATATTATTAATATTATTAATATTATTAATATTATTAATATTATTAATATTATTAATATTAGTATGAATATTAGTATGAATATTAGTATGAATATTATTATGAATATTTTTATGAATATTATTATTAATATTATTATTAATATTATTATTAATATTATTATTAATATTAATAATATTATTAATATTATTATTAATATTATTATTAATATTATTATTAATATTAATATTATTATTAATATTATTATTAATATTATTATTAATATTATAATTAATTTATTATTAGTATAGGTAATCATGCGATGGCGAGTACAATTAGGGATTGATAGTACGAGTGATGTTTGGATATTTTGCCAAAATTAGACGAGCCGCCGTACTTGTTTATTATTAGCATGACAAAATTGGATACGTATTCTCAATGTCAACATCATATTCTCTCGCCAAAGCCCAGTCCTGCCAGACATTCAACCAAAGTTTGTTGCTTTTGTTTGTATTTTCATTTAATTATTTTGTTAAAGCAAAATGTGGTGCTTTTGTTCGTATTTTCATCTAGTTCCTCCACTGCAATTTAATTTCACATTGGTGTTTAAAATACATTTCCGCCTTTTTGTTTGTTTTGGGAAAATCATTAATTGTATTGCAGTACAATTAATGAAATAAGTGTACCCCTCTCAACCAATCAGCATCCAGTAATTTTGTCATGCTAATAATAAATATTATTAATAATATCATCGTCGTCGTCGTCGTCGTCGTCGTCGTCGCCGTCGCCGCCTCCGCCATCATCATCATCATCATTTTTATTATTAATGATCTTTAACCACGGTAACCTTTCACATAGGTGATTTTCAAAGGGCCGTGCAGAAAATACATACATTATAAAAGGAGGATAATTATAAACTTATTACTACTAAACTAAATTATACTTATTTACAAAACATACTTATTTACTTATTTACACACTGTTATTTTCAGGGAGTTAAAATAACTCCCCCTATTGCTCCTTTTTGGTGGAGTTCAAAATTGAAGGTTAGTTTAGCTCCAAATTTGGAGTGAAAGTAACTCTGTGAGAGGAGTAGCAGATTTTCAGGGAGTTAAAATAGCTGGCATATTACTCCTTTTTGGTGGAGTTAAAATTTTAGGGCTATGTTAACCCCATATCAGGAGTTATAATAACTCTTTTTGAGGAGTTAGAAGATACTGGCGAACTAGTTAGTGGAGTTATTCAAATATAACTCTAACTTATTGGAGATATTTGTTATAGGAGCCTGGGCAAGCAAAATGGCGTCGTGTTTTCGTCTATTTTTAATAGTTTTAACTCGCTCAGATTGCTTTCCTTTTAACTGCACTCAAGAATTGTCTGCTGTTCAAAGGATTTTTATCGGATCTGGCATTTAAATTTTAACCCATTGAGTCACATCAGTTGCACCTTTAACACCAGATGAGTTTATTCGTCAAGGAGACAGTGCTGGCGCTTAAATGGGTTAACTGGCCTAACTGCTCATGTGTCCAGTTAACCTATTCAATCGCATTGCACCCTGATGCGCACAACTTTATTATTTTACTCTGTGTAACGCCAGACAATTTTACTTGTCAAGGGGAGAGCACTGTCGTGTAATGGGTTAAACAATGTATTTGATCAGGCATACTGTGAATACCTCCATTATGTAACAAATATATCCTCATACTGTATATAATGTTTACTCAAATTTGAATATTATTTACTGTAAATATTAACATAATATTAGACAATATTTTAATAATTTAAGGATGTGTTTGGCATTATTCAATTCAGTTTTGAGAATGCTATAATTTTAATTTTCAATTTGTCTGATACTTGGTCACCTTGGCAGTTTGAATAATAATTATCGTGTAAGTGTTTTCAAACACTGACAGGTTCCATGGTTTAAACATGATAGAGCTAGCTGTGCTTTTGATGCAACTGATCATCATGCAAAGATGGTGATAGCTTGAGAAACAACATCAACAAGAATAGACTCCTCTTGTATTCACTTGAAATGTTTACAAGTATTGCGCAGATCGAAGCTCTTGCATCAGAGGAAATGGCCCATATATAGGCTCACATGAGGCAGGTTTGTGAAAGGCATGGTGGTAAAGCTAGAAATATTGCTTGTGAAATTGCAGGAGATTTTCAACAGGGTCAGTAAAGATGTTGTCAAAGCCATGGGGCTGAACAAAACACAGAAGGCAATAGAGAGAGCTTTCAACGCGGAAACTGGACTCCTGGAGTTCAGCTGATTGTAAAAGATTGAGCAAGGTCTCAGATGTGAAGAGAGTATCGCAATGCGCACATTCACATAAGTGTGACAGAAATGAAGTGATGATGGTACAGGACATGAGGAAGATCAAACCGTTTGAGAGAAAGCCAAGCTACGCCAGTAAGTTGGCTTGTTATGAAGTCTTTTCATTTGGTTTGAAAAGAATAAGAAGCAAATTGCATTGGGAAAGAACAATTTATACACATTATATACCGGGTGGCGCAAAAAAAAGTTAACCTGTTTGATTAATTTAACTTAAAAACTAAAAGAGCTATTACAACTAAACTACGTGCATTGCATTCAGTATTGTCTAACTTAAATTTTGATATACGCCCTGTGCAACTTCGTACAATATTCACCGAGAGAGCTGCGTTTAAACTTGAATAAACATTTTGGGAAGTGTCGAGAATTAGCTAAAAACGGCCTGTTAAACTACTTTGATAACCCTTACCATTTTATCGTAAATATTCGTTTCAATGAAGTGAAATTTAAATTAAAAATGTTTATAGGATGGAGGTGCTCTTTTATTTTTGTTTAAGGTCTTTGGGAATGCATGGAAATTAATTTATGTAGCGATTTTGATTAAAAGATTTATTTTAAATATGCAATGACCCTGGGGAATCAAATTCTAATGTTTCAAGAAAGAAACGTCAAGTGTTTTTTTTATAAATACGCCTCGTTTAGCGAATGACCAAAGAGTTTTGATATGTTTAGAATATATAAGGGTAAATAATGCTCGTGAGGTTATATACCGGCGGCGTAGGGCAGATCTCTGACAACGAACGTGTACTTTCTGACTATATAGTGCGTCTAAGCACAGGTTATTGCTGTATTAAATATTTGATAGGCCGTTTTTGGCTAATTCTCGACACTTTCAAATATGTTTACTCAAGTTTAAACGCAGCTCTCTCGGTCAATATTGCACGTAAATGCACAGGGCGTATATCAAAATTTAAGTTAGACAATACTGAATACAATGCACGTAGTTTACATGTAATAGCTCTTTTAGCTTTTAAGTTAAAACAAATCAAACAGGTTAACTTTTTTTTGCGCCACCCGGTACAGTATCAGATTATATTGGTTACATAATGATGGCATTTATAGTACCTGTTTTTTCTTACCCAGAGCTCTGTGTATAAATTTGTACATTTCAATGCTAGACCGTGAGTTCAAATTCTTCGATATTAACTGGTAATTGAATGACTTTCCACTTCAAAATATCACTTATGATATCAAAATTTGATGAATCGTACCATGATCAAATATAACATTTAAGATTTAAACAACGGGTGCAATAAAAATCCTTTGAAACAGCTGACTTTGATAAAAACTTGTATTTGTGAAATATTTTTGACTATGAGTCCCCCCCTCCGTTATGCCGTTGCTAAAAAAGGCCAGGTCGACAAATATCCCAAGATTTTTGGATTATTTCGTAACCTGAAAATCAGAGTTTGCCAGGGTCCCAACACGTGCACCAGAACCTTTAAACACCGGGACAATGTGTACGAGGTTGCCTGTCACTATGGTTGAAAATCTCCACAAATATCGGTAAATCTTAGAAAAAATCGATTTCAGAGATTTCAGCTGATTCGTACCAAACTTCGCTACACATAAATAATATCGATTGAGAAGTGTTTTGGCTGTTTATTTGTTTCGAAGACTTGTATATAATTTTTATTTAGGAATATCTCGCCACTCCTTGACGAGTAGCTGTCAAATATATCCGTATTTTGGGTAGTCACGTGACCTGCCCCGACCAGGGCTTTCTCGTCTCTCCCCTCGTCCTCATACGAAAGCCCTGGGAAGGAGGTTGGCGATTATCATTACATATACAGCTATGAGATTTGACAGATTTTTTTTTGAGAATGTGTATTGACTTTTATTCGGACAATTATTGCATCAATTGATCATTTGAAGTATTCTGCGCACGTTCTTCACTTCTAAAGCTAAACACCCCGATTTTTAACTAGATTACGTCATCAGGTGACGTCATTATTCCGTCGTGTTAAATTCCGCCGTTTTTGGTTGATTACGACATTAATGGTCAAAAAAGATCTCAAATGTTACGTACAGTAGCTTACAAAAATTTGCTTTAAACCCAAAAATGTTAATAAAACATCAAAATAACGGTTGTTTAGGAGAAAAAATGGAGATAATACTTGACACGTCATCATAAATTTGGTCACCATGGCAACATGGCTTAGGTAAGCGACCAAATCACTACATTATCGTTTTCACAAATACATTTTAGGAAAAGTGAAAAGTCGTGAAGTTTCGCGAATTTAAATTAAAACGTTCCAGAGTTATACCATTTAAATTTGGCACTGGTAATATCGCCCCTCCCCCGCTGAATACGTTTAAAAAAATATATTTGTCTTTTATTCTTTCGTAAATTTGAAAATTTGAATATTAAATAAGACGATAACATTACATCCCGAAGTTTTGTTTATTTCCATGTATTGGTATTTATATTAGCTTTTTCTGCCTATGACATAAAGATGATATTTAGCAACTGGTCTAGCACGTATCCAGGTTTTTTTCGTGTTAAATATATAAAAACACGACTTCAGCTTTTTATAAACCCACTGACCAAGCCAATTCTCCATTGGAGCAAAAAACTATACAAGGTGTCCCAAATATGCAATGACTGTCTTCCAGGTCTTTTCATGTTCACCTGGAGTTTAAGGGATGAGCTTACAGATTTAAGATTTGACACTAATATTTTACAATTGATCAAGTACAACCAGATAAGGTTCTACACCAAACGTATATATATATATATATATATATATATATATATATATATATATATATATATATATATATATATATATATATATATATATATACAATGAATGGAACTGATTTTAGTTTAATTAAACGGTGGTAACATTTGTTTAACTGGAACAAGTTTAATTGTTTTAGTGTCTAAATTCATCTCTTCAGTAAATATATAGTTTATGCCAATCTACAATTCGCAATTTAATGAGATGTTGCTTTCTCTTGTTCTTGGAGGACGTAACTCTATTCCGATTTGTGGTTGTCGACTTTGTGAGTTTGACCGACATATCATTCGCTGAAAGAGATTTTTGAAAGCTTCTCTGTATTTCCGGTCCAAACAGGCGTAAATTATCGGATTGCAGAGGCTGTTAAACAGCGGCAGCAGGCCAACTACCATTACTGATATGTTGATCGAATACTGATAATTTAATGACGTGCTGTCCCAATCAATAATTTTCGGATCGTAAAGCGCCAACATATTATAAATAACAAAAGGAAACCAGCAAAGTATATACACTCCCACGATGACCAACAACATTCGGATAACCTTGAGATCTTGAAGAAAGACACTTCGTTGGTTCCGATCATTCAACGTTTGACCCAGTTCGCCATTTCGCAGCTTCATTTGTCGTTTGTGAGCAACAACGAAGATGAGAGCGTACATTACCATTATAACTATGGTAACCACAAAGAACGCGACAAATAAGATAGTGTAGAACTCCTTTTCTTTATTATCAGCGGCTTGGCAATAATTTAAATTGTTATCCATCAGGAGAATTCCATAGCTTCCTGAATAAGGAGTGGCGGCGTAGGTGGCAAAGGCAATTGAAGCCAACAAAATGGTAAAAATGATTTTCAATGATTTAGAAGTAGTCATTTTGGACTTATACTGAAGAGGTTTGCTGATTTTGAGATAACGATCAAAACTAATGAACGCTAAACTCAAAATCGATGCTGCTAACGCGAAGTTATCTATCCACACCGTAAAACGACATAGATGAATGGATACGGTATATCGCGATTCAGAGTCGTCGAAGAGTTGGTTCGCCTTCAGTGGGTCTAAAAAGATACCAACCAAAAGATCAGCAACTGCCAGGAAAGCAATAAAATATTTGTTTGGTTGATGAAGACTTTTCTCTCTCCAGGTCACTACCAAGACCAAAGTATTGCCCAGAATTGTGAGAATGGCTATAAAGATTAATATAATTTTATGTGCTAGTTCAATTTGTTTCAGAAATGCAACATATTTCATCCAATCACTGTTATTCCATGTATCATCATATGTTTGGTTTGTAAACATCACTGCAAAACTCGAACGTGGAGCTATAAGAATGAAAACCACACTAGTCAAACAAATTTTAACAAGGTCAGAATAACTAGTCTATTACAACTGCGTCAACAACAATTTTGACTTATTCAAGCGTCTATATAGGACACTGTTCGGTGGTGATTTTGCTAAGTACAAACAATTAATTAATTCATGTTCAAATACAAATCGTAGCCAGAGTGCTAGAGGTAAAGATTTATTACATCAATTTATACAATCGTATTAATCGATTGGATCGAAATTGCACACGTATTTTGGGACCCAAAAAAGTGCTGTGTTGTTTCTTGGTTCTTTTGAAAAGCGAATACGTTAACTTTATATAGTATGACTGTGAAAGTGACAATACATCACTAACGCTTTAGCATGCAATGTTTGTTGCTTTGTGGACAGATCACGATCTGACGATCGATATAACTGCATGAGCTTTTGTACTTTTTTAAACTAGATCTGTTATATATGTCCTTGCCTTGTTCATTCAAGGACCCACACGTCATATTTTTATTACTTTTAAATCCCGCTTGTATAGCTGCTTCGTGCTTCTACAAATCAACTGTAAAATTGTATATTCTCGAACGATCTGTGCCAGTCTATCTAGTGTAGGTACTGCAAAGAATAGGAAAACGTCGAAATGACAGGGATGCAACTGAAAAACACAAGGACATCTTCGAAGTTTACTTCGTCAGTATTTGACTTGAAGACGTCGACGTTCCCCTCGTATTTTTTCACGTAGTTGCATTCCCATCAATGCGAAGTTTTCAAATAAAATTTCACTCGTACTATTAATCCCTAATTGTACTCGCCATGATTACCTATACTAATAGTTCAATTATATATCTATATAATCATGATGTTCACGCCAGTCTTCATCAATTATGTCAAATACCGTCTGTTTTGATATTCAATTAATTTTATATTTCACATTACTATCATAATAATTACACAAGTTCACAACAAAACTTTAATATATTGTTAGAAGTTTGATTATCCACATTTTGCTTAAATTAAGCACCAGTTATTACGCAAAGATAACTCCTAAGTATCACCTATAATTGCAACAGTGTATATTACAATATTCACTGGATCTGTGAAAATATGTGCCAAATTAAAATCTTCCAATACTATGTATGTGGTTTCTATTAATGTATTCATCAAACGATTCATCAAAACGTTTGACAACACGAAACATCATGTTGGCTCGAGGGCTTCAGGCCACCCCTTTCCCAGTCAGTGTTTAGTCCGGCCGATCCAACTTAAAAAATCGGGGAATTTGCTAGGCCTCCTCTTCTCAGTATAATGTATTTTGTTGTGTTATTAATGTCGATGCCAGATGTTCCGTCGGAAACACTAAATGACAGTGATTTTTTTTCTTTAAACTCAAATTGCATACAGTAGATCGAGGAGAAAACTATCCCAGAAATACTCCAAAATAGTTATTTTCATCTATCCTTTAAAATTGACTTTCTTTTAGCTGGTCTGTATTTGAGATGTGTTCCTTGAATTTAACTTCTGATCAACATCTTTTGTCAGCTCCTATAATTTTCCCGCCCGTACGCCAACGACACGAACAATTTTATTATAATTTGAAATCAATACTAAGCGATTCGGGTTAAATTTAATATAAAATAAAATTATCGTCTTGCCATGGCAACACTGACGTAAACGTGAGTCTGTGTCCAGTGTTGATCACTTACTTCATGTTAAATCGATGTTTGGAAAATGATAGGCGAGGGGTTGCTGCATGAATGTATTTCTAGTAAATATTACAACAATGCGAAAATTGAATTGTACCGTACACTTAGCGCTTTGCTTTCATGTAATCTTTCGGTAACAATCAGGAACTTCACGCACGTCAGGAAGTTAAGCACAGACGCTAGTCGCGTAAGTTGTTGATTGTCATATGTGTATGCACTTCAACATTAACAAGGTTTTAATTTTGAAAGCCAATTACGCAATCACGGATATGTCAAATGTATTTGTAAAACTTTCAGTGTCATGTATTATGTTTATACTTATTCAGTCTTAACAGAAGCCGAATTCTCTTGGACACGGACGGTTATTTCTAGATTTTTTGATAAAAATGTTGGGATAAAATGCGGATCCGGAATTGTGGAAGCTGTATAGAGATAAAACGCGGAATTTGGGATAAGATATGAATCCCAACGCTCACCAGCGGCTTTCAAATAATTTGGCTATTGGCGAAGTAGTTAAAAAATCTCACTGAATCTCACTACAGGAACGGCCGTATAAATTTCCGTTTCTCCTGTATGTGAGATTAGTTACATCCTAGCCTCTTAATCGCACCTTTTCGCCATTTAACAAATAGATAAAATTATGAAGTTGTAATGTGAGAAGAACAAAAGAGTGTCCACGAGCCGCAAAGGCGAGTGGCTCACCTTTTTGTTCTTCCCGCATTATGAAACGAAACGGAAACGAGGCTCTATGGCCAAATGACGTACATCCCGGAAGGATGTATCGGTTAAATGAAGTGAAGTGTCTATACCTAGTCTGGTTGTGCTGGTGTTTACTCACAAAGCTGAACGAGGAGACAACATTCGCATATAATCGTGCCTGCATAGACGAACTTTCCAGATCTAGATATTTAATCTTGCTCCGCGTCTACTTGCCGCAAATGTTTGACTGGCCATACTTTTTGCCCATATTTGTGCCCAAGTACTCAATAAGCAAAGCTAACAAGCAGATAACGCTGTTCTTTTAGCTTTAGTAATACGTTTAGACTGTTCTAGCTGCTTAAATTAATATTAATTATGCTTATCATTTCGTTCTTGCTAATCGGAGCACAAGTTGGAACAACATATACATCAATGTAAAATACAAATGTGGATAACAATATACTTTTTTGTAGTGATGTATTGAATACTTCGCTACAATTTTGAAACAGTAGCTGTAGTCAGTAGCAGACTACTCTTTTTGACAAGAAGCAGTGGTGGTAGGGTATACTTTAATTGTGTCATGTATAGATGTAGTTGTAGCGAACTGCATACCTTCCTTTTATTACACACCCTATTCGTTTCCACGTGCACATTTTTGTCTTGGAATTTTATTTGATAAAGCTCCTGATGGTGAATAAAATCAATCCACAAATACTGAATCACGCATTTGAATATTTTCCTCTACAGCAAGATATATGGCTGTTAACAAATCCTATCTAGCGCATATTTCTCTTTTTAACCCATTCACTGGCAATATGCTCTACTTTATATTACTCTGTCTAATGCTAGCAAATTTTACAGTTTTACTTGTTGAGAAGATAACCTTGCAGCAGTTTCCAATTTGCCATGTATCGCCCACACAGAGAATACATTACTGGGGATGAGTCAGGGTAAAAGCCAAATGAACCAATGGTTATCAATTATGATAATACTAGAACGAACTTCAACCAAAGGTTGGGTTGTGCTGCAAAGTTTATAGGTTGGACAGGAGGGAATTGCTCATATTGATGCATGCGAACTGTGAACTTGTACTATATACTGTAATGTTAACAGACTGTGGAGTTCCAGTACCGGTATATGAAATACAGTATGTACAGCTAATGATATTCTTGTATTTCCTTTCTTATAGCTCATGTGATAAACGTTTTGCGGGAGCAACAGCTCCATCAGTGAAAGCTGTCATGGTCCACAAAAGAAATGCTGATACGAAAAGAAGTAAAATTGCAGAAGACATTTGATCTGCTAAGTTTTTTCCTTATTATAAATTATTTTGTATGGTAGCTAAACATTTGTAGAAATGAACTGTATTAAAACTCCTTTTCGACCGGCCCTGTGAAAACTATTGCAGATCTGCAATAGTATTTTGGAGGTTCATATCTTCGGTTCAGTACATGCTACGTAGATGAAAATACCACCATTCGATTCAGCGAAATAATATCTCCTGATTCCTAGTGATAGTTTTAGTCAAACACAAATATTATAGCGATTTATGACCTTTGAAGGGTCGAGAGGTATCATATTTCAACAAATTACATATTTGTTCTAAAAATGTAAACAATGTAGCACTAAAACCATGCCTTTCGCTGGACACAACTTTGGCCCCTTCGAACATGTGTTTTTCATTGTAGTCTTGTTTGATTCACAATCAAAAACACTATTTACAGTGTTATTTTGAGGCTTGTAGCCTCGGGTTTTCGTCTTTTATTTCAATATTTCATTCTGTTGCGATGTTAGTGAAGTCAACGGGATATTTTTTGACCGGAAATGCGATTTTGCAGAACTGCAATAGTATTTTGGAGGTTCATATCTTCGGTTCAGTACATGCTACGTAGATGAAAATACCACCATTCAATTCAGCGAAATAATATTTCCTGATTCATAATGATAGTTTTAGTCAAAGACAAACATTATAGCGATTTATGACCTTTGAAGGGTCAAGACGTATCATATTTCAACAAATTACATATTTGTTCGAAAAATGTAAACAATTTATCACTAAAGCCATACCTTTTGCCAGCCACAACTTCGGCCCCTTCAAACATGTAATTTTTGTTGTAGTCTTGTTCGATTCACAATCAAAAACACTATTTACAGTGTTATTTTGAGGCTTGTAGCCTTAGTTCTTCGTCTTTTATTTCGATATTTCAATCTGTTGCGATATTAGCGAACTCAGCGGGATTTTTTTGACCGGAAATGCGATTTAAAGGTTAAATTACATCTGCAGCATGATTTGCACGTGCATCGGGCTACGGGTACTTCTTATTCGCCAATTTTAACGTGTGGCAGGCGCGTGCGAGAAAAACCAAGAAAAACCCGATATTTTTAAAAACTCAAAATAAACATTTCTACTGGCTGTATTCAAGTGAAATTCTGGATATAAAAGCGCTTGAATACAGCACATATTTCACTCATATTGATTTGAGCCGAACTCTGAAGAATTCACAAGTTATTTACGCTATTGTGGAAACGAAATTCCGAAACTTTGGCCAAGCGGTGAGTAAATATATGATTGTTTCGGTTTGTGTAATGCTTTGACGGCATTCAACCCCCCGTTGAAAAGGTTGTTTTATTAGGATTTCAATGGTATTCTTTGTTTTAAAGGGGGGTGAATACGCGCTGAGATATTTACGTTATAAACAATTGAGTTGTAAAATCGTCAAACTGTCGCTTGTCGATAAAGAGTTAAAAAATTATTTAAACTTCCTATATATACCATTACAGTATCTCACTGTTTGACAGGTTTAAATGTGCATGATTGAAGATTTGCATAATTTCACATGTGAAACTGCAACATGTGATATTTCACATGTGTATTTGGAAGATGTGATATCTCGCATGTGAAGTTTCACATGTCAACACATGTGAAATTATGTGTTTCACATGTAAAGTTTCTCATGTGAAATTTCACATGTGAATTTGGAACATGTGAATTTGGAACATGTGAATTTTCACATGTGAACACATGTGAAATTATGTGTTTCACATGTGAAGTTTCACAGGTGAAATTTCACATGTGAATTTGGAACATGTGAATTCGGAACATGTGATTCATGTGAACACATGTGAAATTATGTGTTTCACATGTGAAACTTCACATGTGAAATGTTTCACATGTGAAATTGGAACATGTGAAACATAATTTCACATGGGAAAATTTCAGACGTGAAAAATCACATGTTCCAAATTCACATGTGAAATTTCACACATGTGAAATCATGTGGAATTTTTGTGCATGCATAGACTCAAGATTATTTATTGTAAATAAGTTGAATCGTCCGAAACTGTCCATGAGTATTAAGAAGACCCCTTGGTTCAGATTAATATCTAAAGAGGTTCGCTACTCATTTGCATTCAGTCTTGTACATACCCCCGCGATGAAAGCATGATACTTGGTGAGTCTTTTGGTTGACCATAGTTTAATTAAGAATATGTGTTATAATTGATTAATTTTACGCTGATCCAATTCTACCACAATAATTTAGTATTTTTTCGCGCAAAATGGGCTGATGATTACTGTGTTCCCAAGCGCACTTGTGTTTTACAAACCATTCGATTAATAAAATAATTTTACACCTCTCTGCCAATCACACTGCAGAAATTTTGTCATGCTGATAATAAGAATATGAGTACGAGGTGTGAAGCATTATTAGGTGTACTGTTGCAAGCAGAATTTGCATTGTTTTGTAACCGCTTGATTACTCTTTCATATAATACAAACCAGACGTTTTAGTAAGCAACATAACATAAATCTTATTTGAAAACAAAGCAACTTGTGTGTTATAGTTTTCAACTTGTCAGATCAAAATATGCGATACGTACTGCTTATTTAGTGGAAGCGAGTGGGCCGAACGTTTGAACATTTCAAGCGAAAGCAATTGATAGGAGGATGGTAGCCAGTGCTTCAGTATCTCATATATGTACCTGCTATTTAGGCGGTAGTACAATTGTCAACATATTCTGAAACAGATGTTTTACCCCCCTTTTTGCGTTTTATCTCCAATGCCGCATTTTTATCCTCCATGCCGTTTTGCAATCCAGCTTCTGCAATTCCGTCTCCGCAATTCCGTTACCGCAATCCTGGCTCCGCGTTGACTCCAATGCAGACTACGATTAACGCTTTCTAGTAATTAAGTTCTAGTTCGTGCATATGTCCTACCTTTAGCATTAATATTGTTGAATTTATGTCGCTGATTTTCTCTTCTCCTCCCGACTTCGAACTCCTGTGAATTCTCAAATTTTGCTCAAAATTCTGCCTGTTCTTTTCAACTGCCAAGTTCCAACTGACTGGTCTCATATGCCTTTAATGCTCCTACCAGCCAATAAACTGAACCACTTATATTAATGAAGTTGAGCCGTTCAACTGATCTTAGATTTCCATGTGTGCCATATGTTATTATAATTTCAAAGCTTTCGATCCATAAGCCTGAATTTAGATCAATGACAGTATTAATTATATTATATTATATACTTATGACCATATCAATGGTCCTACAAGCTCATTATTTTATTATCACCGACGCCAAGCAAACTTACATCAGAACTTGTTGATTTCCAAAGTAGCCACACGCTTTTCTTTGATGGGAATGTGTTTCATGACTGCATGTTGATCGCCGTGCTCTAACTAGACTTGTTAAAAATAAAGAAACTTTGTGTTTAATATTCCATAGTCAGGTCCGGCGTCAAACTGCGTAAACTACGCCTTGTTATGCATATCACGATATGTGCATATTTCCAATGCAGGACATACCAGCTCTAACCATGCGTGCATCCTTAGCAACAACTAGGGAACTAAGGCTGACACAATCTGGTATGGGAACGTTACATTGAAGACTTTTAGCTATCAAAAATGATTACTAGGAACGATAACCGTCATTAAAAACGTCAGTCAAGCCGGACGAAACCGCAACGAGATCAGCTTAAATTAATATTGATAGTATGAAATTCATAATATTGTGAAAAATAAATTAACAATTAAAATCCAGCGGAATTTTAATTAGCTAAAGACGTCACCGTCACTCTGTTTACAACGGGAAAATACATAATATCACGCCTTAGACGTCATTGTCACTCTGTTTCCGACGTCAAAATTCAGGTTATCAGGTCTTTTATACAATAGCTACATTTTAAGGTGCAACAACTTCTTCTTCAAATTTAATGTAGAACTCTACCTTCCCAGACAAAAACCACGGTCTTAACCTCGACCTTTGATTTAAATTGTATTAATTTCAGAAGATGGATGATACACGTCATGTTTTGTTTACATTAATTTATTAGTGCAACGACGTGATTAACCGTCGTTTTCGCGTTGCCGTCGTACTGCCTGGGCAACCATAGCCCCAGACTCGAAGGCATAGCGGGGAATTTAACCTTTAATATTGTACATCGAAGCCCCAGGTATCGTTGACTGACAACACCATAATAGTAATAAATATTCATATTAAATATATACATGTACAAAGCTAATCAGCGATGCACTTTACTATCAGAAGAACTTCATTTATAATATATCAGACGTTTAGAAAAATTTGAGTTTTAAGTAGTTTCTTTTACTCTGGAACACTGTAGTTCACAGTAAAGAGAGATGGGTATGCTAGACTTATCACTACCTCGGGGGTTTTATCTGCCTTATTTAAGCCCCAGATAAATTATGAGAGTTGGCGGTCGCAAATTGCTAGAACTAGGGACAATTGAAGCTCTAGACGGCAATACAAGTGTTTGAGAAGTATGCCAACTACGTTTTAACTAAAAAATATAATATAAAACAGTATCGGAAAAGCATCAACAACAGCTAAACCAACGTCGCGTGACTGCGAACTCCGGTGAACGTTCCACTATCATTCCTCGTTCGGTTTCGGCCTTTGGGCGACACACATCGTAAAAATGGATTGACTGCATACCGTATATTATATATTATAGTACTGCAATGCAAATCCTGAATTCCCGTTGCAACAGGAAATCAATTTATTAATTCAGATTCGTAATATTAATAACATGGGAAGCATTTAATCATCATATGTGTCTAAACACAATAGCTTCTCACCTTTAATTACTGATGTTTTAGAACACCATGTAATTCAGTTTTTTTCCAAACGAAATAACTTGAAACTTAGATATTTAGTCAAATTAATAGAATCACACTCGTGTCCTAATGAGCCATGTTGTGTTAAAAAGAGATTTGAACTCACTTTGTTTGGCTATGATGATTCCTCCACAAGCATCGTACCAATGGATACATACAGTACGCTCAGAACGCAACTTCCACTAAGAGACCTGGTACGAGGCTGTAGCGCGACGTTAATTTAAAATTTGAAGAGGAGAGCACGAAAGATTATCTCTTTTTCCTTCTCCTTGTTATATACCGCGCAAATAACCGACTGATCCCCTTCCCCAGCCTCCGAGAACATGCGTTATTTCATCGTTATTAATTTTATTATATATTTCCGCAATGCTCAGGTTTATGCTGGGGGGGGGGGGGGCGGAGTCTCAATTCACTAGCGAATTAACATACCTAAATATGAAACAAGTATCACTTATTTACTGAGACCGAGGGAAACAGTGTGTTTTGTGGACCCGAGACCGCAGCTACAACGGCGGTCGAGGGGCCACAAAACATACTGTTTTCCCGAGGTCTGAGTGAATAAGTGTTTTGTTAGATAGTAAAAAGTTTAAAAAATGAACTTTGGAACTTCATCGTTGACACGCATGCGTATTGCACCCATTTCATTATTGACCGGTCAATAAATGTTTCATTGCGGACCGGTTGCGAACATGATGTTTTGTGGACCGGCACGTGACACGGTTTTGAGCAATCAGCAAACAGAAAAATTGAACTTTGACACTAACTATATAACATTATTATACATTTAATATGTATTCTCGTTTCTAATTGGTCAGAAAGCACCGGCTAATTTTCAGTATTCGGCATTTATTACGTATTTTCCGCCGATGACGTCATCAGCGTCCAATAATTGTTTTTTTGGATCGAACTTGCATCCAAAAAAAAAATTATTGGACTCTCTCGTGCCCAAACCCTTGCGCGGCCAAAAGCTTGAACCTATAAGCGCGCGAAAAAACAAACAAACAATGGCCTACAGCAGATTTGCTTCGCTGAATGAAAGTGAACTCTCCAAATTATTGGCAGATAAGGATAGTGAAAGCACGAAAAAAGCCACAAAGGGGTAAATAGAAGTAGAAATAGAATATTTAGCTGACCTTTGACTTTGTGCAAGGTGTTTGATATTCAAATTGTACTTTTCCTACCTCATGAACAGGAATCGTTTTATACGTTTCTCATGTCTTTAAATGTATAATAAAACAATTATTGGATTCGGCTTTCGCATGATATCAAGAATTATTCAGACCTCGGTCTATGTTATCCGCCTCAGCTTCGCTTCGGCAGATAACATTGACCTCGGTCTGAATAATTCTTGATATCATGCTCAGCCTCATCCAATAATTGCTTAATATACATTTAATGTCTGCTCCCGAGGGAAATAGTTTGTGTTGAGTTTTCCAAGAGTCTCGATGTTTCCCGAGACGAAGTCGAGGGAAACATTGAGATTCGAGGGAAAACAAAACTATTTCGCGAGGGAACAGACATATTAAGCGTTTTGTTATATAGAGACGAACAAAAACCAACATTTGAAACATTCAACAACATTCATACAAAAATTGTATGTCGTCATATTTAATTTTGGGATAGGTAATAGGACCTCTACATGCCTCTTGGATCTGTGGTTTACTTATACTGTATTTTATAATCATTATCTATTAAATGATTTCTTATATCTTCAACGCGGTCTTGAAAGTAGACCATACCGTGAAATATTATGTAAAAGGTACACGCCTATAATCCGTGTGCTGTTTTGTGTATTTTTATGTAAATCCATTGTAGAATTAAATATCGTAATTGAAGTTAGCATGTATTGTATGTAAAGTTATTACTTGATAATTCATAGGTGTGATTTGATGATGCACATGAATTTGTCACAGGGTCGGATTTGACCATACTGGGACATTGCAAATTAGGAATTGGTAATAAGACTTGAACAGTCGCTTATGATTTTGTGTTGTGTTGTGCATGTAATTTTCCTGTATCTCATTTGAGTAAATGGTTTTCTTAAATATATCTTCACAGGGTCTGGAAATTGGACCATACAGTGAGATATTGTACTTACTCCATGTCGCTCACTGTGTATTTCGTATATCTGTCTTAGTATTCAAGTATAGATGCAGTTAGATTATGTACATACTCACTAGGTCTTGAAAGCAAATCATAACGTGAAGTATGTGAGGCCTATGGTTTGTGTCATGTAATGTAAATGAGTTTAAAATTAAAAGAACCTACTTAAACGGTTTGAGCAGCATATCCTGTTGCCTGTAGTGTATTTTTCTTCTCTTTTACATTCTTTATTTGAACACAAACTTGGAAAATCGTAGTTTCTAATTATGCTAGTTGTATCGCCATTTTGTTTATTTATGTACGTAGCCGGTCGGGGAGGGCAACAATTTTTCACTTGTTGCCCGGAGTGATACATTACATTTTTCTGTAATCACGTGACCACAAATCAGCCAATCACGTTTGGTGTTCACTCTAGCTATATAACAACGTCAGTTAGATGCGTAAGAAAAAACAATCTTCATAGGAAGTAAAGCCTTGAACATTCGGACGAAGGGCCTTCGCTCGAAACGCCTACGTTTACCTTATATTTTCAGGCATTGTAACACCTTGCTGCTTGTTATCTTCTCTACCTACGCTGGCAAAGACCGATTTTATTATAATCAATGCATGGCATTTATGTTGCAGTGAACTGATATGCTGATCAATGATATTCACAAGGCTCGTAATAGGAAGCAACTATAGCAATGATATTGGGCACATAGCTACCTTTTGAGGGATGTTACTTTGAAATAATTGAAGGAAAACTTTTAAACAGGAAGCTATATTTCAAGTTTAACCACTGATCTGAAATACGACTGGATAATGCATCCTATTGAATTCAGTAATCCGATTTTGAAGCCGGAATATTTTAATGAGATGAGATTTATAAATCAGTCAAATTCTTGACCAGTCTAATTGTTTGTTGTTTAAGTTCAGTTAGACCATAAAGCAAATATCATCGCCTATGTGACTTGTGAAATATAGCTTCCAAAATATCTTCGAAAGAGTTTTGGAACGTTTTATACACCACATAATGAGGGTTATGGCGGCCATATATTTGATGGCATCATACTGTAGAAGCATGAAAATATAAATAGTTGTCGATCTGTATAGGCATTAACAATTAAAATGGCCATAAAGATCGGCCGCTCGTATTTCATCTATTACTTTCAATATAATTTCACTTCCTGGTGATTGCTTCGCCATGCGCATCGGAGACCTCGGGTATTCATTTAATCTGCCCAAGCTGTTCCTATATAGCACTTAATCTATATTTGGTCTTGACTTTTGGTAAATCGAAAATTGAAAAATCGAAAATTCCAATCAAACGAGGATGTGAGTGCATGAGATTCGGCAATCATGCGACCCAGGTTAGCTGTTCCGCATGCCATGGCCAGAAATCACGAACAAAATGGCGGCTAATTCGATTTCTTATGCCCACAACGAACTTATTTTACGAAACCAATATGGTGGATATTATACGGTATTTTACTACAAACAATATAAAATCGATGCGCACAATGAAATATAGAATGATTTGCCATGTTCCACACGTCTACAAATAGTATTACCTACCTGAAAATATAGCTCTCGAGGGTTTTGACGTCTCAAGATTTGCCATTAGCCGGCTCGACACCGCCCGAGTAAACTGGATTCAATACATCTCCACACAATATAGTGCCGTCGAAAACGTTTGCCGACAACTTCCGCACGTCTCTATTTCTTGTACGATGTTCGATATGCCGTTGCGTGTAAGTTTTAAAACACCAGAGATTTTAGCTAAGCGGCCCCAACACTTTCAAATTGTCCGTTTTGAGGCAAAATATAACTTGAAATTCCTGCCATTGCGAGCGGTTTAGGGTAGTAAAAAACCTCAAAACGTTGTCAAATGACTCAAATACAACGCAGAAAATGCTTATTGCTTCTCCATTTTATAATCATTTTAAGGGGCAACCGCTGACTAACAACTGCGAGGGAAAATGCTCCAAACAAAAGAAATTTCGGGAAATGCAAATATATTCAAATTTGTTTGGTCTTCTAAAGTTTAGAATGTTGTTATTATCTTCGTTATAGTTCTAAGAAATTCATTCCTACAGACTTCCACTTATATAATCATCTATCCCTGGATCAAATTTATATTTAACTCTTTGTAAAAAGACATTAGTGTCGAATGTATTTATAAAGTTTGTTTGTAGTAGATTTGAAGTCGCGCGTATGTCACGCGCGCGCGTGGGAACAGTTTCTGCGCCCACAATTAAAACCGCCGACTGTCCGTGATTTCTGGCCATGTCACAAGACTATGATGTATTTTACTTAAGGGAAAACATAGTTGCAACACGTGAATGAATTAATAAACCTTCATTTACTTTATCTAGAACTCACCAACTCTCATTAGCATTTGTGTTTGTTTGACCGGGGCTTTAGGATGACAAATTTCAGGTTTTGCCATTGTGCGACAATATAATTGAGTTTATTTTATATTTAGTTGTATTTTATATTTAGTTTTATATCGAAACACGCAATAGTCGTTTGTGAGAACTGTCAAAGAATGTTTATATAAAAATTCCTGCTCTCTTACCGAGTAGCCATTCAAAAAAATTATTGTAAAATATTCTATTTTTCTACTGTAAAAAAGTATACTGAATTTCTTTTGTCTTAAGTAAAAAAATAAAACAGGTGTTCACCCTATTATAAAAACACTATACACGCCAATTTAATTCTCAATTATACTGTATGGAGTAAGGACTTATGGTGTCTCAAAATACACAATGGCTGTATTCCAGCTATTTACAAAGCTCATGGACATAAAAAAATCAATCTATAATATGAACTTACATATTTAAGTTTGATACTCAGCAGTTTTTACAATTGATCTAGTAGATCAATGTAAATGATTGTTTAAAGTAAGCTTCATACTAAACATACTGTACCTATCCAATGAATGAACTAGACTTTAATTTACATGGACATAACAGCGGTTTTGCTGGAACAATATCAATGATCATAGTATCAAGATTCATCTCTTTATTCTAATAATTTTGTTATGTGCATACATGCACTAATAATTGTACATAGATGCAGCTGTATAAAAATCTCAAACACAACTAAGCATTTCTTCGCCCAATCTGGTGTAGCAAATTTAATGAAATGTATACTGTTGCTTCGTCTTGTTCTCGGTGTTTGTAACTCTATTCCAGATGCAGCTGTCGACTTCCTGAGCTTTTATGGCCGACATATAATTCGTTGAAACAGACTATTGAACGCCTCTCTGTACTTTCGGTCCAGACAGGCATAAATTATTGGGTTGCATAGACTGTTTAGCAGCGGCAGCATGCCAACAATTGTTCGAGATATGTGGATCGAATACTGATAGTTTAACGACGTGCTATCCCAATCAATGCTGCTTGGATCGTACAATTCCAACAAATTAAAAATCACGAAAGGAAACCAGCACAGTATGAACACCCCCAAGACAACAAACAACATTCGGATAACTTTAAGATCTTGACGAAAGACGCTTCGTTGGTTCTGACCATTCCAAGTTTGACCCAGTTGGCCATTTCGAAGCATGATTTGTCGCTTATGAGCAACAACAAAGACGAGAGTGTACATTACCAGTATGATTACCGTAGATAAAATGAACGCGACTGATAGAAAAGTATAGAATACTTTCTCTTTACTCTTATCGCCGGCGCAATATTTTAAATTGCTGTTCATCAGGACAATTCCATAGCTCCCTGAATATGGACTGGCGGCAAAGCTGGCAAAGGCAGTCGAAACCAGCAAAATGGTGACGATGATTTTCAATGATCTAGAAGTTGTCATTCTGGCTTTATACTGAAGTGGTTTCCTGATCTTCAGATATCGATCAAAACTGATGAACGCTAGGGTTAATATCGATGTGGCTAACGCGAAGGTATCTATCCACACCATAAAACGACAGAGATGAATGGAGAGGTTACGTCGAACTTCAGAACCGAGATTGAGTTGATACACCTTCAGTGGTGCTAGAAACATACCAACGAAGAGATCAGCGACAGCCAGGAAAGCAATGAAATATTTATTAGGTTGATGAAGATCTTTCTCTCTGCATGTCGCTACCAAAACTACGGAATTGCCCAGTGTGGTGAGAATAGCAATAAAAATTAATGTAATTTCCTGTCCAAGTTCAATATGTTTCAGAAATTCCATGTATTTCATCAAATCACTTTCATTCCATGTGGTCACATCTGTCAGATTTGTAAACATCGCTGCAAAATTACACTTAACCAAGAAGGCTATAACTGTGAATACAAAAATATAGTGAAGCAAATCTTGACAGGGTCAGTGTAACTATTCTAATATATTCTAATATATCGCAGCTACCTCGAAATCCTTTGTCTCGCGAGATGCAATTAATGACTAATTTACCTCATCCCAAGGGACGATTAGTTACTAATCGGTCCGAATCTTTACGCATAACCTCTTGAATTGATGTTCAATTAAATATTTAACATACATGAAAAATCAAGCGTAACCTCATTAACGAACATCGCAATAGTCATTAGTATCAAAAAGCAACGCGCCTTTTCATTTCAACTTATATTCAACCGTTTTATTGTCTCTGTAGCTATGATATGACAAAGTGATAGCATGGCATTTCTGTCGATTAGGGATGATTGAAATGTCCCTCAAGCCTCCAGAGGCTTACCAAACCTGTCTCGCCTCTCAGGTACAGTTAATCACAAATCGACCTGAATGTCATGCTCTTATACTTATAATAAAATAATCAACAGCAGACATTTTGACATTGTAGTATAAATTGTCTCAATGTATAGGGCAGTGCATGTACTCTACCGTGATTATTTGGCTAATAGATGTGTAATGCAGAAGTGGCAAACAATGAACGTATACAAATAGAAACTTTAAATAAAGTGCCTTGCGTGTTTATTGAAATATATTTAGTAGGGACTCGAAGCAGCGTTGGGTTGTTATTTGTTTTTTGAAAAGCAAATACATCAGTTCAATATAACTGTGAAATCCTCCGTTTACATCGCTAGCGCTTTGCAATGTTTCTGCCCCATCATTTTAGAACCCCACGCCAGATTGCAATTAATAAATTGAATTTTATTACTCTTATTAACTATATTTGAACCACATGTCCTTGCTTTGTTCTTTCAAGAACCCGTATGTCAAAGTTTTATTACTTTGAATCAAACGGCATTTTCCGGTATATATGTGATGTTGGTTATACAGTATATCATGGTTATTCGGGCTAATTAATTGGGACCTCGATTTGAGGTGACCGCTTCCGCTTATTAGAGGTGCCACTCAAAAGGTGTAATGTTAATAGTATTCTCTTCAAAAATATCATTGGGACCAGAGATTATTTGAAAAGAAGTTGCTTCGGTCCCAAAAAATGTGATTTGCTCGCTTACCACATTTTATTTCTTGTTCCCACTCTTTACTCCAATTTCGCTCGGCAATTTCGCTTCCGTAATTCCGTTTCCCCAATTACGCAATTAAGCAACCGCGTTTTATCGTGAAGCAGACAACAAATAACTCTTTCTATTGCTACGTTTTAATTCTGTCTTACTTTTCCCTTCTCCTTCGTATAATGTTACCCAATTTATGTTATTAATCTCCTTTTCTCTTGGCGACTTCCAAAATCCTCAAGAAACTAAAACGGTATGTGCATGTGCATTGCTCCTATACAGGGTGAGTAAGAAAAAACTGATACCTTCGCGGCTAATTTGAATAACAAAGGTATCATTTTTTTTTTTAATCACCCTGTACATGTTAATATAAATTTTAGCCGCCTGATATCTTAAGCTCCGTCCAAACGAGACCAAACCACTGAACTATATATAAAACATGGAAGGCTGACTCCAGCTCAAGAAGTGAAGCCAAACATGGCGGAAATGGAAGGAATTCTTGCGCGTTAGTTCCAGTCCCTTAACGTGCGCGGTCACGTAAAAGGAAACATTTTCAGTATGAAAGAATATTTTTATTTTTTTATTTTCATATTTTATAAAATGACTTTGATTGCTTGTTTTAATGAGTTATTCATGCGAATGAAGCAATCCTTGTAAATAGAGGCAACAGAGGTATTAAAACAGATACTTTTGTTTTTGTCTGTCAACTCGGTGTTGATTTTCTTTGACATTTACAAAAACATCAACCCATCGCTATTTTGCTTTCTTCCCAGACAAATATGGCGCGTCTTTTAAATAAATAATTCTTAAAATTTAAAACTGACACCAAAAAAACAGCAGCATTTCACTTTTCATTCAAATTTCTTCTATTTTTACTCGATCGGAAAATAAAGGAAAATATATAAGTTTAGATAATACAATAACCTATTATATTGGCTAAAACTGCAGTTTATTAAAAAGCAGTTTTATGTCAGGAAAACTGACAAAAATGATGGCAATAATAGTGTGAAAAGCACTATTACATAGAACAAAAATAGAAATAACTAAACAAAAATAAATTCCCAAATTTAAAATCCAGATTTATTCCAAAAACAAAAACAAAAGTTTGAAATTAGTTCTTAAATTCGCAATGAAAAATACAGAATTACTCACACATACATTGGGGAAATGCGGTAGACATATCGAGTAGATGAAAGAAATCAGATTTACATGATTAAATTAATGATCAGAAATTAATTTCCTTTCTTGCTCTTTTGAAATAAAGAAGAACAGAACCCGAGAGTCGCGGACCCATCACTTGCTTCTCATCAGGAAAATATTAAAAAAATACTAGGCCGCGAGGGTACGGAGACTGAAACTGACGTGCAAAAATCCTTTCAAAATCCGCCATTTTTGGCTTCACTTTTTGATTACGTAAATCATGACTGAAGTCAGTTTTCCATGTACAGATAGTTTGCAGGTCTAAACATGTCCATATTTGTTACTCTCACAATATTGGACGGCGTAATTCAGTTTATACTGCAATTATGTTGTAATGAAACGATTATTATTTTTAATATAAATATAATAACTGATCCAAAATTAACAAACATGAATTACTCATCGCAGGTAAGGTATTCTGTTAAAACTCGCAAACATCTTCAATGCTTCAAATGTAAATTGATTCCCAAGGGGGTAGGGGGTTGTAAAATTTTAAAGTATACAAAGCTTAGTCTAAGGATATAAATTTAAAATTCCATAACTAAGAGTATTACAAATTATATCATAAGTATCATGCTAGGTCCACGCAGGAACGAATCCATGTTATGACGTTTTGCGCGAGCACTAATAATTCTATATAGCTGTTCAAAAATCCAGAGGAGTTGGAGCGGCTCTAGGAGGGGACACATATTATAGGGGGTCTGAGTGCATTCCGCCCGATAAAATGTTAAAACTAGAGTTTCCGAAATGGCATTTTCTGCCCTTTAAAAGGAGATTTACGCAGTTAAAAACTGTAACAAAATGTCATTAAATATTTCTAATTGTTTTGCCTACACGCGCAACTGAGTTACTATCAACTAGCATTGTGTGGCTTATTGTTGACCATTGTTTAAAAATGAATGTGTGTGTGTGAGGGGG